CAGACGCGACGCGGAGCCTCACGCGTTTCAAGCCGACGGGCGGCTGTCGCGCGGGGGGGGTCTCAAATCTAGGAGAAGCTGCAGGGCGGCAAGATGCCCACTACCGTGGATCATCCACGGTAGTGGGCATCTTGCCGCCCTCTTAATCCGTGTTCTCAACTTCCGTATCGATCGCTTGCGCCCCGCCGATGTGCCTAAATCTGGCCCACCATCCGCTTCTGACTTGCCGGGGCTTCCCAAGTCTAGGAAGAGAGGTCGGGCCGCCCGACTGTCAACGCCGCTGGCCCGCACCCGGCCCTCCATGTGCTGCTGCTCGAAGGGCCTACAGTGGGGGCCCGACCACAAGAAACCTTCCACAAGAAACCCAACCCTGAGGCCCCAGGACGTCCACCGATCTTTGGTGTGGGAACGTCACGCTTTCCATCGCAAAACCATCGAATCCTAAGAAACCCAGGGCACCTTCGAGGCAAGCAGGGTGTTTTTTGGCATGGGTCTCGACTGTATGAGGAAGTCTTTCCTTAGTGTCTCGCAGGTTTGCTTGAATGGACGGGGGCCGGGGCGTGGCGAGGCCCGACAAGAAATCTGGACTTCACGCAAGCCGGGGCTCACTTGCACGCCTTTTCGGCCCAGCGCTGTCGGATAAGGCGGCGGAGGAGGGGGGGATGCCATGCACGTGACCTTGCCATCATCTGAATACGAAAATACGCCCTATTGGGAGCCTCGCCCTGGCAGCCACTGGAGCTACCGCGGGAATCGTCCGCTTGTGCCTCTGCCTGGGCTCGTGGGGGACCAAGAGTTACCAATACCGCTGCTCCCCGCACCTCTCCTGGGGTGCGTCCTGACCAGAACTTCGAATCGAATCCAGCGGTGGCGACGAGGGACTCCCAGGAGGCCCAAGAGGGCAAAACCGAGGCAAGGGTAGCTGTACCCCGTCGTCGTCGTCGTCGTCGTCGTCGTCGTCGTCGTCGTCGTCGTCGTCGTCGTCGTCGTCCCCGTTCAGGATCGGCGCTGAACCCCCCTCCCCGGCGCGCGGAGCGCGCCAGGGGCGGTGCCGGAGGCGCCGCCAGGGGGCCCAACGCCGATCCGAGGAATCCGCGCGGACCTCTGAGTATTTATGTTTATGTCAGTCTTCGTTCCCGTAAAAACACAGCGGAGCCTCAGGACAGCGAGGCATTGACAGTGTAGCTCAGCATCAGCACAATTAGGGGAACGAAGAATGACACAAACATAAGAGCTCGGAGGTCCGCGAGGATTTCTCGAATCGGCGTTGGACCCCCCTCCCTGGCGCGCGGAACGCGCCAGGGGCGGCGCCGGAGGCGCCGCCAGGGGGCCCGAGCGCCGATCCGAGGAATTTCAAAATTGCAATAAAAAATAAAGAAATCGTCCCCATATTATTTTTTGACTATTTTTGGGGTAGGGACATGCCCGACTTAAGAGTAGACGGGGTGGGAGGATCGCACCGCATCGCCAATGCATCGCCGATGCATCGCCGATGTATCGGCGATGCATCGGCGATGCATTGGCGATGCACCAGCGCCGATGGCGATGCATCGACGACGTCGGCGTGAAGCTAATCGGCCCCGCATCGAGCCGCATCGTCGATGCATCGGCGACGCGGCGCGATCCTCCGACCCCATATATGAGGGGCAACGATGGGGGGGCAGACTGGCATAGGGAGGATGGGGGATGCATCGAGCTGGAATCGGCGATACATCATCGATAGATCGGCGATAGGCCTCCGAACGTGAATCCGCACCTCCTGTGCTGGTTGGGGCTGTCGGGACCCGATCGGCGATGAGTGGGCGATTGGGGGTCGATGCACCCCGCCTATGCCTATCCCCCCTATCCTTGCCCCTGAATCTACGCCGACCCCATCTGGGAGACCTGCAGCTATCGGGCCCCTTTCGGCGATCAATCGGCGATGGGGGGTCGATGCGTCCCCCCGTGGAGCCAGTCGGCCCCAGTGCTCCTCGTCGTCCGGTTCTCGGGTCAGGACTCCGGTCTCTGGCCGGGGCACCCCCGGGAATGCTCTCGGCGGGGCGCAGCCGCTGGAAGGCCTCCCGAGGTCGATCATCCGCCGAGAGCCATCGAAGAGACCCGAACACCTCGAAGCCTCCCTCGAGCCTCGAACGCCTTCGATGCATTCCCCCCCGAGCCCATTCCCCCCCCAACGCGCTGCCCCTGAAGGACAGCTGGAGCTTGGAGTAGGCGGGGGGGGCTGAACTGACTGGGCCCACAGGAGATCTATCAAGGAGAGGGGTTTTACGAGGGCAGAACCGCTCAGAATCGGTCCGCAAACCCCTCCTGGGGTCCATCTGGTGCAACTCTTCACCCTGGATTCGTCTTGGACGGTCCCGTGGCCCGCTGGTGGCCCCAGAGACTGGAAAAGGTGAGGAACCTTCTCGAGCCCAGCGCCTCGGACCTCGCCCCTCCCTCCTGAGGGCCAGAACCAGGGTCCAAAGACACAGAGGATTTGCCACATTTCTGAAATTCGGTGGCACCCCTCACGCAGATCGGCGGGGTCAGTGCTGGGCCACCTTCCTGCCCAGACCCAAGACGTCATGATTTTTTCTCCACGTCGACCCCCAGAGTTCTGGACCTTTTCCCCAGGGGCGGTGTATCATCCCGATTCGTTTTCTGACGGCCCCGAGGCCCGGTGAGGGCCCCCCGTGGGCGACAAGCCTCCCGTCGTGAGTCTTTCGTAACGCGAGGGGATCTGGGTCCCTCGACGGGTCTCAGGTTAGGCAAGCGTGCTCCACTGCTCGCAAAGTAACTACTCGCAAATGGCCTGAATCCGTCGCGTGGGATTTACCATGCATGACCTAGAGGAGGATTTTGTTTTCGGACGCTTGCGAGTAGGCACTTTGCGAGTATGTCACTGCGCCGACCTTGCAGACGTGCTGCATCGGATTTTGAGCGGATTTCTGTCAATTCAAAACCCCGAAACGGCGAGCGAAAAACGACGTGGATTCCACGAAGATTTGTTGTAGTCTTCATTCCTGACCCAAAAGAACTCCGGACGAAATTCACTTCGAAATCCGGAACGACATTCTCCAGGACACTCCGGGCCCATCCTGTCGTTTTCCGAGCGAAATCCGCTCTGCGATGTTGGCGCCAGGACGAGCACCGGCACGCGCCTGATTGAAGGGGCCCCAGGACACACAAATAAATACACACAAATAAAAATATTCCCCATATTTTCCCATATTTTCTGGATTTTTGTCTTCCCCCCCATTTCCCATATTTTCCTATATTTTCTGGGAATCGCCGATTAATTGTGTCTGTGTGTTTTTGTTCCCTCCTGACTGATGCAAGGTGCGGGCGTGCAGACGGCAGGCGGCGGGCCCCGCGCGCCTTGGGCAGCCTCCCGGCCCCTGGCCGCTCCACACGCCCTGCGGCGAGCAAGGCCAGGCACGGGCCTCACTTGGGCGGCGGGGGCGGGGCTCGCGGCGGGCACAAGGGGGTGGGGGGAGGGAGGGACGGCTTCTTATAGGGGAAGGAACGATGACACAGTCATAAAAACTCGGAGGTCCGCGTGGATTTCTCGCATCCGCGCTGACACCCCTGGCGGCGCATCCGGCGCCGCCCCTGGCGCGCTCCGCGCGCCAGGGAGGGGGACCCAGCGTCGATCCGAAAAACCCCGCGCGGACCTCCGAATTATGATTTATGTCATTATTCGTTCCCCTAACAAGGGGGTGGGGGGAGGGAGGAAGGTTTCTTAGGAGGAGGCTGCTTCTCAAAAGCGTTCCCCCCTCCCCCCACCCCCCTCTGCGCGTGGTCGAATGGGGTCGGAATGGCTAGGGCCGGAGGATCGCGCCGCATCGCCGAAACATCTGCGATGAATCGGCGACGCGTCGCCGATGCGTCGGCGAGGCACCGGCGATGCGTCGTCGATGCATCGGCGATGCATCGGCGGCGTCAGCGAGAAACACATCTTAAGTCAGGCCTGGCCCTCTTCAGTAAGACCACTCAAATATAGTAAAACAGTAGTCCGGGGACGAACTTTGGACGATTTCTGACGATTGTAAGTGTATGTTTAAGATAAGTTTACATTTTTGGTCTAAAATCCGCTTGCTGCCACGAGAAGATGCCCGACCGAAAGCAAATCGGTATCCACATCGAACCGAACCGCCGATGCATCGGCGATACGGCCCGGTCCTCCAATCCCGTCTGCTCGGACCCCACCTACGGGGGCCCAGGGGCTGGAGGCGCCGATGGGGTCTGTTGGCCGCCAGGAAATTCGATCGGGCGTGTCCTCCTACAGGCGGAAGTTGGGCGATTTTTTAAATATAAGAAACAATACGCCAACAGGAACAAAAACAACTCATATAAACATCGTCCCCAGACTGTTTGTTCTACTATTCTCGAACGACTATTCCTCCTGTAGTGGGGACATGCCCGATGTAATCAAAAATGGTGACGGGATTTTTGTTCGCTAGATTATTTTTCCTCTGGGGGCCCGTGCGCTGGGCTTAGGGAGCGTCGGAAAACGACTCGGGGGGGGGACCCCGCTCCCAGGGAACGGGGTCCAGACTGCCAGGGGGCGACGTCCTGAAATCATGACGTCGGAGGTCTGGTTTTTTCGGGCACCGCCCATCGATTGGATTAGGTCGGGCATCTCCTCCGACAGGCGGGTTTTGGAGGACACATGAAGCGTAATCAACAAGCGACCGAATATCAAAACCAAAAAAACGAATAATCGTCCCCAGTTCCTCCTGTAGAAAAACGTGCCCGACGTAAATCTGGGTCTTTGGGGCACCGTCCATCGCCTGGAAATGGCAACTAGGTGCGAAGGTGGTTGCTGCTGCCTGCTTGCGCAATCAGAGCATGCGGCAGGTTCGTGTCGCGTCGGCCCGGGCGTTGGTTCCTGACGCCGCTGGGACCGTTCAGTCTTGATTGATCGGCCGTTTCCGAAAGGTCAGAGTTTTTTGGTTCCCTGGAGGACCTTCTGCTATCTGCGCAGGCCTGAGCGCAACCGCTTGGTGGCGCTAGTGCCCTTTTCAGCCTCCCGAAGGGCATCCTGGCACGTGCCGCTTGCGCTCGCCCACGAGGGCGCGAGCCAGGAACAAGAACGCAACGCTGCCGCGGTGCTGCGTCGGCGCGCGGCGTGCAGCTGGATGCCAATAGGTGCCGCGCAACAAATTGCACATCGCTGGCGGGCTTGCCTGCTCAACCGGAACAAAGCAACACGGAGAAGCAGGCAGGTTCGGGGCAACCACCGCCGCCAGAGCGAGGGAAAAGGTAGACGATTCCTTTTCCTCACACATGGGCAGGAGGAGCGCAGCTCCACGTCGGCGGCCCCGAGGCATTCCGCCTCTGGAGCTGGAGGCTCTAGGCTGGCACTCGTGAGCAAAAGGGCTCGGTTCTGAGCCCCGCGGACGCGATACCCTCAGCCTCTGGAGCTAAGGACGCCCTCGTCCTGGCCGGTGATGTACGAGTCGCACTCTTCGTAGGCTTCGTTGGTCTTATTCTTTCTTGCCCACGCCCTTGATTTCCGACACGGGTTGATTAGTCTTGGTCTCCGTCGGATTTTGGCTTCATGCTCCCCAGAAGATCCGACGCCTCGACATAATTTGGAAAGGCTGTTTTTTGATTGGTTTCGGTCCCCAAGGGCCTTCGCAGAGCCTCGGGACCATCAAACAACAAGTCAGCCGGTCCTAGGGAAATGGTCCAGACCTCCAGGGCGCACGCATCGAAACAATTGGAGCGGTCGGACGCCTGGGTTTGATGATTCTGAATGTTTTACACACTGGCTCAACCAACAACGGCCCAGCCACCATTTCGGAAGTTCGACCTCTCGCTGCGCGCGCCCCACCCGCGCGCGGCCATCCTCCCGCCCTCGCGCCCCAACTCAACAGGGCGCGGGGGCAACTATCCCGGGCCCGCTCCCTTTCCCACCGGAAGACGCCCAGCTTCCGCGCAGAAGAAGCGAAGACGGCCAGGCTCCGCCGAAGACTGCTGAGGACAAGTGGATCGTGTGAGGTTCATGTTCGAAGACCACCTCCTCCTCCTATTTGTTTGCGTTTCTTCGATCATCCTCCACATATTCCTCCTCCTCCTCCGCCTCCTCCTCCTCCGTCTCCTCCCTGTCCTCCCCCTCCTTCCCCTCCTCCTCCCCCTCCTCCCCCTCCTCCTCCTCCCCCTCCTCCTCCTCCTCACCCTCCTCCCCCTCGTTCTCCCCCTCCTGCCCCTCCTGCCCCTCCTCCTCCTCCTCCTCCCCCTCCTCCTCCTCCTCCTCCTCCTCCTCGCGCCTCCGTGGTGATGTGATGGCGCCCTGGGGCAGCCCTCCCACAGGCTCGGGCCGCGAGGCCTCGCGCCGCGAGGCGCGACTCCTTGCCCTCGCGCGCCCGAGGCTCGCCGCCCGCCAGTCGCCCGGGGCGCCGCCCAGCCCGGCAGGAGGTCCGCGGGACACCTCGCGTGAGGTCGGGCGTGTCCTCCTACGGGCGGACCTTGGGCGAAGCATGAAAAACAATAATCAACACATGCACAAAACACGAAGCCCCAAAACATACCCAAAAACATCCCCAGGCTTGTTTTTTGCCTGTTCGTGGATATATATACCTCCTGTGGATGGGGCAGGCCCCACTGGAACCCTGCGCGACTCTGCAGCGGGTCGGACGAGAACGGGCGGACAGCAGAGGGCGGGGCAGCGAGTCGGCTCGCGCAGCGGCTGCTCCCGGCGCCAAGTGTGTGCCGAGGAGCGCGCCCCGGGCGGCGGGGCCGAGACCAGCTGCTGTGCGGAGGAATCCCGCAGAACACCCCCGCTCCCTATGTCCCCCCCCCTCCTGTCTGGCCCGACCAGGGAGGAGAAGCAGGCACCTCTTTTTGCACGAAGGATTGCGATCCTACTTTTTGTGCAATCCTTCGGTTTTTTGCAATCCTTCGGTTTTTTGCAATCCTTCGGGTTTTTTGCAGTCCCCCCCCTCCTGTCTGGCCCGACCAGGGAGGAGGAGCAGGCACCTCTGCGCTGGGGTCGCCGCTGGGGTCGACACTTGGCGAGCCTGTACCGTGCACGCCAAAAGGGCCTCCCGTGGAGAGCTCTACTGGGGGGCAACGATCCGGGGGGGAAACTGGCACATGGGGGACGCATCGACCTGGGATCGGCGATGCATCGCCGATAGATCGGCGATGGCCCCTCGATGATACGTCCCCACGCTCCTGGGCGGGGTGGGGTTACTAGACCCTTATCGGCGACGGCTGGGCGATTGGGGGTCGATGCATCCCCCCCTGTGCCTATCGCCCCCTATCGTTGCCCCTGACCCACGTGCAGCAGTCTCCCGAAAAGGGCCGCCCTCTCTCGCGCGAGCAGCGGCCGCGCCCGCGCCACGGGCCAGCCCCGGGCGCGTCGGAGCGGCCCCGTCGGCTCTTTGGGCCCAGGCCGGTCCCGCGAAGCCCACCCGACCCGACGCCGCGATCTGGCTCGCGTGAGGCGCCCGCGCGACCGAGGCGGGCACGAGCAGCATGGGAACCTCGCGCTCGGCACCGGCAGCGGCCACCGTTGGGCAGGCGACGTCCCCAGGCCTCCGACGTTTTCTGACTCTGGTCGACGACTCCGTACAACAGGAGCTCGACCACAAGAAACCTGCCACAAGAGACGCAACCCTGGAACCCCAGGATTTCCATTGATTGTTTGGTGGAAGCCATCGAGAAGTCCAAGAAACCCAAGGCACTCTTAAGGCAAGCAGGGTGTTGTTTGGCATGGGTTTCCACTGTACTTGGCAGGCGAGACCTGCCAAGGCGGGCCGGTGCAGCTCAAGCGATGAGCTACACGAAGTCTGTCCTTTCCATGCTCAGCACTGCGGTGGAGACCACGGTCTCCAGAACCTTATCCACGATCAGATGAAAAAGCTGATCCTCCATGCCTTCGGTGAGGATCGGAATATCAATCGTGCCGTTCAGCGACTCTGCCAGGGGCTCCCTCAGCTGCCTGTTGAAGATATCTCGGAGCATCTCCTGCTTCTTGGCGGGCGCCGCTGTCTCGTCCAGCAGCACCTCGATCGCGTTTACCCAATCTTCGACCATGAAGCTTCTCAGACATTCCTTCAGCTTAGAGTTTACAATTTCCACCGGCGGAGCTATGATCGAGCGCTCACAGCTCTCGGACAACCCCCACACATCGATGCCCGCATTGATACGGTCGATGACAACGTTAAGCTGAGTCGGACTGAGCAAGTCTGGCTGCTCGAAAACAACGTCCCTGTCAGTGTTCAGTTTGCTCCACTTCGCACCGTTCTGCCACTTGATCACCCGAAATCCTACGTCTGGCGTCCCTGTCAGCTCATCGTCACCTTTCTTCAGGGTGATTATCCTAGTACCTGGCTCGTACTCCATGGTCATCTCGCCATCCACCGACATAGCAACACCCTCATCGCTCTCTTCGAAGACGATGGAGAAAGGGGTGCCCCATGCACCGAAGAGGCCTGTCGACATACTGTGGTCTTCTTCCACAGAAACAGCGCAACACAGTTCGGGTAGACGTAAGAGTCGAATTAGGGGGACTCGGGTTGGCCCGATGGGGCCATCATAAAAATGACGCGACCCAATCTCCCGCTGCAGACATCCCACGAACACTGGACCCTCAAAATCCAGGACGCGCTCGTCAAAAAACGTCCGCAAACCCGAGCTCCGGCTTACTCGAGTCTTACGTTTCCCCGGACAGTGCTCGGTGCGGCCTGCGCAAAACTTGAACTTGAGCCAAAATGGCAACGGAACCCCCGCCGTCGTGCTGTCTTCGCGGGGCGGATCCCCGAAGGTCTCGACCCCCTCCCGCGAGCCGCTTCTTCATCCCGAATCGCTGTTTGACTGCCTCGGGGCCTGCGAGGCCCCCCAAAAGGCAGACAACAGCACACGACCTTCCGTAGGGGAGCAAACAATGACATAAAACATACAAAGTCAGAGGTCCGCGCGGATTTCTGGGATCCGCGCAGGACCCCCCTGGCGGCGCCTCCGGCGCCGCCCCTGGCGCGCTCCGCGCGCCAGGGAGGGGGGTCCAGCGCCGATCCGAGAAATCCGCGCGGACCTCCGAATTTTTACGTTTGTGTCATGCTTCGTTCCCCCATTCCGTCCTGATCTCCTGTTGACCCGAGGGGGTCTGGGAATGCCGTCTGGCACCGGCAGCGGCGACCGTCGGGCGAGCGACGCCGGCTCCAGATCGACGAGGTCCGCGGCGACACCGACCGCGAGCCCCTTGCCATCGCTCGGACGTCCATTCCCCGTGTATTTGTCGATTCCGCACGCGCATTCTTTCACGAGGTGGACCAAAATGTGTTCCTCGAGGGTCTTCGCCGGAAAAAAACGCAGACGTCCGAGCGATGCCGAGGCCCTGCTCAAGACGGAGCGTTCCCCCAGGGTCCGACAACGCTCGAACGGGAGCGTTCCCCAGGGTCCGACAACCCGCACCCATACCCATCGCCAGTCCTCCTCCCAACGACACCCCTATGGGTATGGGTGTGTGTTGTTCGTTCGTGACGCGAGCCCTGCTCAAGACGGAGAGGGGCTGCTCGGGCGACGGCGGCGGCGCACACGGCCTGTGGCGACGCCCGCGGCGACGGCGGTGCCGCGCCGCCGCGCCCCCGGGAGCGGTGCCAGGCTCTCGCGCGGCGGGCTCGTGCCGCGACGACCTCTCGGCAGTGGTCTCTGCCACCTCGCGGCTCGTTCGGCCCTGAGCGGTCGCGGCTTCTCGATGGTCGAGATTGCTCGATATCTCGGGGAACAAAAAGTGGCATAAACATAAAAACTCGGAGGTCCGCGCGGATTTCTCGGGTCGGCGCTGGACCCCCCTCCCTGGCGCGCGGAGCGCGCCAGGGGCGGCGCCGGAGGCGCCGCCAGGGGGGTCCAGCGCGGATCCGAGAAATCCGCGCGGACCTCCGAGTTTTTATGTTTATGCCACTTTTTGTTCCCCTGGATATCGGCCGACTCTGGGCCACCTGCGGCGTTCAACCATGGCAGGGCCGCCGCCGCGTCGGCACGGCACGGACCGGCTGTCACTTCCTCGCTGTCATAAGAGCGTCGCGGCTATCTAACGATGCCCGCCACTCTGACCTCGCAATTTATCTGTGACACGGGCCCCCGGGTACCTCGACCCCTTCCCCAGCCAGCGTCAAAGTTTCACCCCAGGTCGATGTTTGACGGTCCGGACGTCACGATTCCAGGCGCAGAGCCCGCGGGTACCACGACAACATCCCGAATGGCTAGGCAAACCGGGCACACCGCACAGGCCCTCCTGCCACAGGCCAACTCACGCCATGCACCGTGGCCTGAACGACGCGCCGACGATGCCGCAGCGACACGGCTCTCTTGCCTCGCCTGGCTCCTGGGGTGGGGCCAGCCTCGGCTCGGCTCGCGGAGTTGGAGCCTGGCTCTGGGTGCCCGGCGGCGGCGACGCCGCCGCCGCCGCCCGCCGCCGAAGGCGGCGACGACGACGACGACGACGACGACGACGACGACGACGACGACGACGACGACGACGACGACGACGACGACGCTGCCGCGGCGCTGGGCGCGCACGGGGCCGCGCGCGCAGAGCGCGGGCCCGCCGGGGCCCCCGCTGCGGTGCTCGCGGTGGGCCCCGCGGGCGCTGGAGACGGTCGAGAGCCCGCGGTGGAGCAGCTCCTGCGCGAGCGTCGCTTGCGTAGGACCGATCTCCCCGTCCCCACTTTGGCGGATACGATGTTCGAAGGAACAGTCATCCGATCAACGAGAATCCCCAGACACCCCCTCGGGCAACCCAGACAACCCATGCTGATGAAGGACGACAGGGCTGCCTACCCCGGACAATCCCTTGGACAAGCCAGCGGGGATGCAGACAACCCCCCTTGGACAAGCCTCCCTGGGATTTCTTTCATCGGATATACCCCACCGCGGGCGATAACAATACCCCGGGGATCATAAAGTTCGGGGTTCTGGCTGGGCTAATGAAAGATGTTCCCGGGGAAGGTAAGTTATGATGATGCTGATGATGCTGGTGATGCTCTGGGGACGGTAACTCCAATGCTTTGCCTGCTCGAAAAACGCATGCACAACCAAACACCGATCGGGCCCTATGGCCCTGCCACGCGTTCCTGACTCGGGGACGGCCAAGAAAATGAGAATATCATGGCCCCGCAGCACGTTCGGAACGTGGGCAAACTGAAGTGGTGAGAATCCCACAGCCCTGCCACACGCTCGTGATTGCAGAAGCTGGTGCGGTGAGACCACCATGGCCATGCTCAGCGTGCTTGATGCTGTTGCTAGTCGACATGAGATGATAGCAGCTTCGATTCGCAACTTTCCCCGTAGATTAGAAAGTTCGGCCTCCGCGCCCTCCTCCACAATTCAATCCTGCTGGACGGGGATTAAAAAATAGGAGGGGCTAAGGGGGGGTAGACTTTATGATCGCCCGCACGTGGTTACAACGGTTATGTCGGGCGTGTCCCCCTACAGGGGGATTTTCGACAAGAATGTTAAAAAAAACCAACAATGCCCCAAAAAGGTCAAAACATATTCAAATAATAATCCCCTGACCATTGTTGTATTATTTGTTGGGGTATTTTTTATTGTTCGTCGAAAATCCCCCTGTAGGGGGACAGGCCCGACTTACGGTTAAGGGGGGGGTCGACTTTTTTATCGCCCGCACGCGGTTACTACTAGGGCTCCCAACTTCGCGCTTCGCGCTCCGCGAAGCGCGAAGCGCGAATAACTTCGCGCCCTCGCGCCGCCCCCCCAAAGGGAGAAAAGGAGGACGAGGAGGAGGGGGAGGAGAAACGAGGACCGCGAAGCGCGAATAACTTCGCGCCCTCGTGGGAGCCCTTGTTACTACGGGTCTCACGCACGATGGCATAGCGACCTGACGCGGCGGCTTCTGCGGGCTGCCGGCGCGGAGCGCCACACTGGAGCCCCGGGCGCTCCCGCGCGACCCTTACGCGGGAAACTTACGCCTAAGTCGGGCCCGTCCCCCTACAGGGGGATTCTCGACGAAAAATGAACAATACCCCCAAAATACACCAAAAAGGTCAACAGATACTCAAAAGATAGTTCCCAGACCATTCTTGCATTATTTTGGGACTATTTTGAAAGTATGTTTTCCCTACCCAGGCTCTGCCTAGAAGGGTTCTTACTCTCTAGCTTAAAGGGGCCGGGCAGTGGAAAGCGCCCCGGGCGGTTCCCCCAGTCCCCGCCCCGCGGTTCCCCCCAGTCCCCTGGGAGCTTTAGCTTTAGCTTTAGCTTTAGCTTTAGCTTTAGCTTAGCTTTAGCTTAGCTGTAGCTTAGCTTTAGCTTAGCGTTTCGCTTAGCTTTTCGTTTAGCGTTTAGCTTAGCTTTAGCTTAGCTTTAGCTTAGCTGTAGCTTAGCTTTAGCTTAGCTTTAGCTTAGCTTTAGCTTAGCTGTGGCTTAGCTTTAGCTTAGCTTTAGCTTAGCTTTAGCTTAGCGTTACTGTTACTACTAATGCTGCCTTCCTAGGGGTTCCAACTCCTAGGTAGGGTCGCACTGGGATAATTTTTATTTTTCGTCGAGAATCCCCCTGTAAGGGGACAGGCCCGATTTAGACTCACGCCCGAATGTCTGCGCAAATGGAACCGCTTCCTTGCGTCACCCACCTGGGCATGGCCTCCCCAACTCATCGGCGGCCGGAACTGTTCGGCCACGGATTCTGAGGAGGAGGGAGGAGGAGGGAGGAGGAGGAGGAGGAGGGAGGAGGAGGAGGAGGAGGAGGAGGAGGAGGAGGAGGAGGAGGAGGAGGTGGTCGCGACCAGGGGGGGTCGAGTTTCGGGAGCGAACAAAACAGCGCGACGGGGCCCGAGCGAGAGCTTCGCAGACGTCGGCGGCTCACGGCGGACCCCGCGGACGCTGGAGGCGTTGGAGAGCCCTCTTGGTGGACCTGTGCGAGCATCGCCTATGGCCGATCGCCGTCCCCCATTTGCAGATCGTTTTTTTCGGCGATGCCCCAGGCTACCTTTTTTTTTTTCTTCCACGAACTGGCAATTACTAGGATTGTGCGGTCAACTGCGCATGGGAACAAAAAAATGCGAAATCACCCACTTGGATGGTTGGCGCCATCGTCTTCGGCGCGAGTAGCCATGTGAGAACGATGCCCCAGGCTACCTTGGGTCGGGGGGGGGGAGGTGCCAGCCGATAGCCAAGTCTGTTCACTGTGGGCAGCCCCACGTATGCCCTGCGCGCAGCAGCGCTGCGTACCCCCGTCGGACCTGCGCAGCCGACGAGATCAGGTTATCCAAAGGGGGGTGCGGGTGGGCCAGATAACCCAGGCTGTCGCTGGACCCCAAAACAACAAATCTCCTGGACAAGGCTGCCCAAAAGATCAGCGACCAGACATTTTCGGTAACGGATTTCGGTCGCGCTAGATAGCGGTGGCGGCCAAAGGGGGTCGAATTTCGCTAACGAGAAGACGGCGCATCGGGGTCCAAGCAAGGGTTTCGAAGACTTCGACAGCTCGATCGTTAGCAGAAATGTGCAAGTGGAGGCGGGACTTCGGTCACGACTGGTTCGTCCATAGCGTTGCCAGAAAATGTTCGGTAACGGATGGTCTGGGTCGGCCCCACCAGACGAATCGCCCTGGGAATGGGGAAACATACCCCAAACAGAGATTGCACTGGAGAGATCCTGACGGATCTTGAAAGATTCGGCGAGAATCTCCCACGGACTTCTGTGGGCGGCCAAATTGCCGCATTCCCGGTTCCGGGTTGCGGTCCGATTCCGATGGGCGGCCAAATTCCAGGTTCTAGGCTGGGGGGTTCTGGCATTGTGAGCCTAAGGATTCTCGCTCTCTTGTTTGCGGCCAAGTGCCCTGGTCCTTGCTTCCACAATCCATCTGAGAAGGTAGGTCGTAGAGAGTGAAAGGTACAACTGAGAGAGTTGAGACCACAGCTAAGCACGGATGATCGCAAGCACACATATATATATATATATGTATATATACATATATATACATATATAATTCACAAACTGTACTTATGTATATGTATGTTGCACTCGTAGACCAAGTTGAGATGGTAGATCAAGCAGACGGCGCAGTAATAGAGGGTTACGCACATATATATGTATATACACATACTATAGAGAGAGAGACGGGTATACAATAGAGTATGCTGTAATTGACCAGTGATATCATATAGTGCAGAGCGAGATGAGAGGGTGGACTGTGGACGAAGTAAGCAGAGGAAGGAGAGAGAGAGAGAGAGAGAGATGGAGAGACAACGACAGGACATTATAGAGAACGAGCGAGGGAGAGAGACGGAGAGAGAGAGAGAGAGAGAAAGAGGGAGAAGCCGTGGAACGCCTGTACAAAATGCATTTGAAAACGAATTTTGCCATTTTCGATGTTCTACTGCTGTTCCCTTCGGGTGGGGCTGAGATACCACGGGCGCAGTGGTGATCAGGATTGTTCGGACGTTGCTAGCTGCTGAAGTCCCCTCACAGATCCAAGCGACCCAACTCGGCCAATTCGTCGTCGTGCCCTCGGCCTCTGCGAGGCCGCTTCCTGGCCCCGGGGCCGTCAACGACACGACTCAAGAGGAAAAGCCGTCCCTGGGGCCCTGAGGCCCGTGCCACGAGGAACAGGCGGCTCGCAAAAAGCGAAGCGGCACGAGCGGGCGTCCTGCGGTCCGGGCGCCGCATCTTCTGCGCACCCAGCGTTCCTTGTTTCGCGACGTCTCGTGACCCGGGGCCCTCTCGGACCGATCTGGCTAGAGAAATGCCGCAGAGATCTGCGGTGAAGGGTTCTGGGTGGTCTTTGTCACGATGCTGAACGTTTTCTTTTTCGGCGTTTCGACATTGGGCGGAAGGGGGGAGAGGGGGGGTCTGGCTCCGGGCCTCTGCTTAACGCGACTGTTTGCAACAGTGCGCCCTATGGGGGAGACTCCACCTGCTTAAAAGAGGTGCCGAAAGCAGCTAAGACCTACACCACGGGGGAGGGAGGGGGGGGTGCGGGGGCCCGCGCCGAGCTGCGAAACAACTCATATTAGGTCGGGCGTGTCCTCCTGCAGGTGGATCTTGAACGAACAAAAAGGAAACAATCAACACATGACCCCAAATGCCCAAAAACTACGCAACATACCGTGTCCTGAATCTTCCTCCTGTAGAGGGACAGGCCCGACTTAATTGAAGGGGCCCAGGGACACACACACACTCAAATAAATGCACACAAATAAAAGGATCCCCCATATTTGTCAATATTTTCGGGGCTTTTGTCCTCCCCCCCACTTCCCACATTTTCCCATATCTTCTAAGGAGTCGGCGATCAATTGTGTCTGTGTGATTTTTGTTTCCCTCCTGATTCATGCAACTTGTTCGGGGGAGGTCGGATCTCCGGGCGGGGCGAAGCCCGAGGCTCCCAAGTCTCCGAGGCGGCCGGACTCCTTTTTTCTGGGGCCAGATCGCCAGAGGCCGCTGGCTGACAGAGGCCCCCAGCGCAAGTCTCCGAGGCAGCTGGGGTCCTTCATCCTGGGGCTAATCGCCAGAGGCCGCTGGCTGACAGAGGCCCCCCAGCGCAAGTCTCCGAGGCGGCTGGAGTCCTTCCTCCTGGGGCCACATCGCCAGAGGCCGCTGGTTAAGACAGAGGCCCCTGGCGACCTCCAGAGGAGGGGCGGTGGCGTCGTCGACGTCGCGGTCGACGTCGACGTCGTCGTTCCGCATGTTTCTGGGTGCTTCTAGAAAGGTTCTCGTCGCCACAGCCTGGCGCCGCTTGGAAACATGCATCCCGGGAGGGGTCGGGGAGACGCTCTGAGTGCATCCCGGTCGGGGGCGAGGCCAGGAAGGCGGAAAAGGCAGGCAATATGTCCAGCAGCGAATGCTGCCCAAAACCTACAGCGGCCGCTGTTGGGCAGGCGACGACTGTCTCCGGCAGGAAGCGGCTTGAATGTGTTTTTGTGTTTGTGTTTGAAACGTTGTGGAACACGAAATCGACGAACTCCTCAATGCAATCCGCTCTTTGTTCAAACCGTCGCCCCCAAACAACAAGGACGAGACCCCCAAAAAGCATCGGCGCCCGAAACAGAACGGCGAACCAGAACGCGTTGAAAACAACACGGGAAAACAATAACGAAGGAGGAGGGCGGGAGGAGAAGGCGGAGGAGGATGAGGAGGGTGGAGGGAGGGAAATGGGCAGGCGGAGGCGGAGGCGGAGGCGGAGGCGGAGGCGGAGGCGGAGGAGGAGGAGGAGGAGAGGAGGAGGAGGAGGAGGAGGAGGAGGAGGAGGAGGAGGATGGGGGCAGGCAACGTTGTTCACCATGGGCAGGAACCGCTGCTGGCCTCCGTCCCCGCTCGATGCCCCCTCCCTCGCTGCGCGCCGCCCCTCCTGCTGCGCGTCGAGCGCCTGGACGCCGGAAGCGCTCGGGAGCTCGCGGCGGCCGAGCCCCCGCTGGTCGAACTCGCGGTCGGCGGAGGCGCTCGGAGGCTCGCAGCGGACCAGCTCCTGGGGAACCCGCCAGGTGCCGATGCCGCTGCTCCCCCAGGCCTCTCCCGGGGTGCGTGCTGACCAGAAGTTCGAGGCGAATCCAGCCGTGGCGACGAGGGCCTCCCAGGAGGCCCAACGAGGGAGCAACGAGGGAATGGTCACTAGCGGTGTGGGTACCTCTTCCTCCTACGAGCTCCTGTAGGTCGAAGGCCTGCGGGTGGCTCGAAGCGGCAGAAGGCTCGTGGCGGACCGAGAACTCGTCCTCCTGCTCGAACGGGTCGAAAGTCCTCTGGTCTGGCCGGTGGGGGCGGCTCATTTGCCGGCCAGAACGTGGCCCCTCTGCGGCTCCTTTGGCCCCCATCCACGCCCCGCCGTTTTCCTGCCAGGTGGCGGCGCCCGAGCCCTACCCCCACCAGCCGTCAATTGTCCCGGATCGATGGGGAACGGGGGTTGGGCTCAGCTTTCGCCACGTGTTAAACGAATTCCGAACCCTGCCGCCGCCGCCCATCGAGTGGCCTGAATCATTGATCGGCGAGGGCAGGGTCCGGACTTCGCCGCCGACCTGGTCCGTCTCGACGCTCCACCGGAGAAGGACAACACACGGCACGAGCACAAAGTTGCGGAGGTCCGCGCGGCCTTCCTGGGTCTGCGCTGGACCACCCTCTCTGGCACGCGGGGCGCGCCAGGGGCGGTGCCGGGGCGCCGCCAGGGGGTCCCAATGCCGATGCGAGGAATCCGCGCGGGCCTCCGTGAAATGTCTGTCGGTGTTCTTCTGCTCTTGTTCGATCCTCCATCCGCCTGCTGGTCCTGATGCTCATCCTCTTCCCCTTCCGATTCGGTTGGCCATGGGGATCCGGGCAAGCGCGCTGCGGCTGCTAAGGGTCAGCGCGTCCGTTTTCATGCCAAACGCGGGCGCCAATGCCGTGACACTGCGCCGTGGACAAGACGCCCTCTGAAGTCAGTCGGAATGGCCCCCGCCGCAGACTACGACGACAAGGGGCGACATCCGAACTACCATCTGATGGTGCGCGCTTTCTCCCACACTTCGATTGGGATTTGGAGATCGTGCCGGTCGGGGGAAGCGCCGACACGGAAGCGAGCCACGACGTCAGAACGAGTCCAGGGGGGATGGGGCACCTCCTGCGGCACGGACAGGAGAAGGACGACGACGATGAGGAGGACAGAAGGAGCTGCTAACGGCTGTGAGAGACGATGCCTGTCGCCGTGCAAACCTGTCCTGCCACCGTCCCACGGCTAAGCCCTGCGGGGAGGTGGAGGCACAGGGGAAAGGTGAGAAGCGAGATGAGACGAGGCAACATAATGACCTAGTTAGGAGTGGAGAAGTGGGGCGCCTGAGCAGAACAGCCAGAGTGGTAAGGGCCTCACCTGCACCTCCTCGTCGTCGTCCTCCTCCTCCTCGCTCTCCCGGACTTCTCGGACTTCTGCGAGACGCCCCGCTCGTGCCAGCGCGCAGCAGACCAAAGGAGAAGGAACAATGGAGAGGCGCCGTGGTGACGCGCGCGGGCCGATCTTGATGCGCAAGGTACTGTCCTGCCTCATCTTCGTGTCCAGAGTAGGCGCGCACGCATCCGCCCTTTCTGCTGACTTTCGATATATATATATATATATATATATATATATATATATTTATACATATATGTCGTAAGCTGTTTTTGTTTGTTTCTCTCTCTCTCTCTCTATCTCTCTTTCTCGTTCTGTCAAATCCATTCTACCCTACTCCACCCACCCACGCCCCTCATCAACTGCAAGACTACCCTGGTACCTGCGTAAGTCATTACGTTTCCGCGAGCAGCATCAGGGGGAGGAACGGAAAGGGGACATGTATATCATAGGAGAGGGGAAAGAGTTAGGCTTCTAGTACTGCCTGTCGGTCCTCGCTTCGTCAATGCTGTCCAGACTATAGTCGACGGACGCTCTGACATATTGACTTGGTTCTGGGCAGTGTCGCATGGACTTGAAGAGCTCAGTGAACTGTTCATCCCCAGCGTGTCGTAAACTGCCTTCGGCTACATCTATGTCCTGAACTGCTTGCAGGGCAGCCACCTTGCGCACGAGCTCCCTCCTCTCACTTAACTCTGAGAGCATCTTCGTCATCGCACTATGGGCCTCGAGGTTGGCTGCCCTGCAGCGTGCCCGAATCCCCTCCTCGCTCTATCTCTGTTTCATGTCCTCCGTTTCCTCTTCCTCGTCGTCCTCCTCCTCTTTCTGCTCCTCTTTCTGCTCCTCCTTCTGCTCCTCCTCCTCCTCCTCCTCCTCCACCTCCATCTCCCACACACCCCTGCTCTCCTCTCCTCCTGTATCTCCATTTCCTCTTCTCTTCCCTTCTCGTTTCCTCCCGTTTCCTCCTCATTAACTGGTTACTCCCACCTCCCTTCCCTCCCTTCCCTCCTCCTCCTCCTCCTCCTCCTCCTCCTCCTCATATTTCTTTTCCTCCTTCTCCTCCTCCTCCTCCTCCTCGTTCTTCTGTTCTGGCCCCCCAGTGCGTTCTGGCCCTCCTCTTCCTCCATTCCATTTCCTTCTAAATAACTTCTCCCTGTCGCACCCCGAAGCCAATTTTTAGGGCGGGCCGGGCAGTGGAAACCGCCCCAGGCGGTTCCCCCAGTCCCCTGGGAGCCAAGCAAAAGCAACAGCAAAGGTAACAGCAAACGCGCGGTTCCCCAAGTTGCGCTCCCTGGGTGCCAAGCAAAAGCAAAAGCAAAGGCAAAAGTGAAGGCAGAAGCGAAGGCAAAGCAAACCCATAGCATAGCATAGCATAGCATAGCGCAGCATAGCATAGCGCAGCATAGCATAGCATAGCATAGCCTGGCCTAGCCCAGCATAGCATTGCGCAGCATAGCATAGCATAGCATAGCATAGCATAGCATAGCGCAGCACAGCATCCACGATTGATGCTGCAGTATATATATACTAGAACCACGCGCGCGCTTCGCGCGCGCTTAGGTTCTGTCGAGTCACAGACCCAGGAATCGTTGCGAGAAGAAATTGGTGACGCGAAGCGTCTTGGGGGCGTCCTTGGACGTCTGGGGTCTCCTGGGGCCTCTTGAGGGGCCTCCTTGGGGCCTTCTTGGGCTCCATCTGGAAGCCAAGATGGATGCAACAAGAGGGTGCTTGGGCTCTCCGTGAGCTATCCTCTGGTTTTCATTCCCCTGGAGAGGAGAAGGAGGAGGAGGAGGAGGAGGAGGAGGAGGAGGAGGATGAGAAGGAGGAGGAGGAGGAAGATGCAGAGGAGGGAGGAGGAGGAAGGAGAGGAGATGTTGGGGCGCTCTTGGGGCCCTCTTGGGCTCTCTTGGGGCTCGTCGGGGCCCTCGTGGGGCCACCTTGGGCTCCTCTCGGAGCTCCAAGAGGAGCCCACAGAGGGGCCCAACATCGGTCACGCGAGAGCTCTTTCGCGTGACCGATGTTGGGGCCCTCTTGGGGCCCTGTTGGGCCTCCTTGGGCCCTCTTGGGGTCTCGACGGGGCCCTCGTGGGGCCATCTTGGGCTCCTCTCGGAGCACCAAGACGAGCCCAAAGAGGGGGCCCAACATCGGTCACGCGAGAGCTCTTCCGCGTGACCGATGTTGGGGCCATCTTGGGGTTCCTTGGGCCTCCTTGGGCCCACGTGGGGCTCCCTCGGGGCCCTCGTGGGGCCATCTTGGGCCCCTCTTGGAGCTCCAAGAGGAGCCCAAAGAGGGGCTCAACATCGGTCACGCGAGGGCTCTTCCGCGTGACCTATGCTGGGGCTCTCTTGGGTCCCTCTTGGGCCTGCTTGGGTCCTCTTGGGGTCTCGTCGGGGCCCTCGTGGGGCCATCTTTGGCTCCTCTCGGAGCTCCAAGAGGAGCCCACAGAGGGGCCCAACATCGGTCACGCGAGAGCTCTTCCGCGTGACCGATGTTGGGGCTCTCTTGGGGCTCTCTTGGGTCCCTCTTGGGCCTCCTTGGGCCCACGTGGGGTTCCCTCGGGGCGCCCTCTTGGGCCTGTCTTGGGGCCCTCTTGGGCCATCTTGGGCGCCTCTTGGGCCGTCTTGGGGCCCTCTTGGGCTGTCCTGGGGCCCTCTTGGAAGCTTCTTGGGCCGTCTTGGGGCGGTCTTGGGCGCCTCTTGGGCCGTCCTGTAACGTCGGAAAGCCCAAAAGACAACTTTGTTGAAAATGTACGTTTTACGAAGGGAATGGGCCAATTTTTGCGTCTAGGGGCCCTCTTGGGACGCATGTTGGAGGCTTCTTGGGGCCTCTTGGGGGCGTCCTTGGACGTCTGGGGTCTCCTGGGGCCTCTTGAGGGGCCTCCTGGGGGCCTCCTGGCGGCCTCTTGGGGCGGAAGGCTCGAGCTTGCGGTTCGTGGTCCCCCTCTGGGCCCCCTCTTGGGCCCGTCTTGGGGCCCTCTTGGGCCATCTTGGGCGCCTCTTGGGCCGTCTTGGGGCCCTCTTGGGCTGTCCTGGGGCCCTCTGGGAAACTTCTTGGGCGGTCTTGGGGCGGTCTTGGGCGCCTCTTGGGCCGTCCTGTAACGTCGGAAAGCCCAAAAGGCGACTTTGTTAAGAATGTACGTTTTACGAAGGGAATGGGCCAATTCTTGCGTCTAGGGGCCCTCTTGGGACGCATGTTGGAGGCTTCTTGGAGCCTCTTGGGGGCGTCCTTGGACGTCTGGGGTCTCCTGGGGCCTCTTGAGGGGCCTCCTGGGGGCCTCCTGGCGGCCTCTTGGGGCGGAAGGCTCGAGCTTGCGGTTCGTGGTCCCCCTCTGGGCCCCCTCTTGGGCCCGTCTTGGGGCCCTCTTGGGCCATCTTGGGCGCCTCTTGGGCCGTCTTGGGGCCCTCTTGGGCTGTCCTGGGGCCCTCTGGGAAGCTTCTTGGGCCGTCTTGGGGCGGTCTTGGGCGCCTCTTGGGCCGTCCTTGGGCCGTCTTGGGGCGGTCTTGGGCGCCTCTTGGGCCGTCCTGTAACGTCGGAAAGCCCAAAAGACAACTTTGTTGAAAATGTACGTTTTACGAGGGGAATGGGCCAATTTTTGCATCTAGGGGCCCTCTTGGGACGCATGTTGGAGGCTTCTTGGGGCCTCTTGGGGGCGTCCTTGGACGTCTGGGGTCTCCTGGGGCCTCTTGAGGGGCCTCCTGGGGGCCTCCTGGCGGCCTCTTGGGGCGGAAGGCTCGAGCTTGCGGTTCGTGGTCCCCCTCTGGGCCCCCTCTTGGGCCCGTCTTGGGGCCCTCTTGGGCCATCTTGGGCGCCTCTTGGGCCGTCTTGGGGCCCTCTTGGGCTGTCCTGGGGCCCTCTGGGAAACTTCTTGGGCGGTCTTGGGGCGGTCTT